CAAAGGAGTTATCCTTTTGTCCTCCTTCCTGCTGCTCCCCTCAGCCAGTAGAAGATGGCAGGGAAGTGTAGGGAGAAACCACTTGTCACCCTAGCTCCCTACTGAATAGAGTCTCTCTAACCAGGTCTTCCTTGCCCTCCAGTCTTTATAGCAGATTTATTGCTCCATGCTGGGCCACAAGAGTCTACCACCATGGAGGGAACTCCCTTCAGCAAGCTGCAGCCTCCAATGCCCTTGAGGGATTATAGGGCAGGTGAGAGTTCTTAATTTCCTTCTTTCTAGCATGACCCTCCCCTGCTGTTTGGATGAAAGAGACCTTGGGGCTATTAACCTTTATACACAGGAAGGAGTGGCCAAAGAAACAGCTATCTAGACCCCAGGAGCCAGTCTGAAGTTCTAGCTTCTTTCTGTCAGTCCTGCTTGGTGTGGCAGGAAGGGGACTGTAGTGGCTGGCACACAGGGCAGCACTTTGAATCTGAAATGGGAGGCAGGCTTAGCTACTCACCCGACTTCCAGATCTGCACAGCCAGGCGTGTGAGCTTGCCCTGCAGCACTGACTTCTCCTTCTTGGGCATCTTGTTTACTTCCTTCTCCCTTTCCTCAAAGTCGATGTCCTCCTGGCTGTTGAGTGGCTGGATTGCCAAGGCCGCTCCATCTTGGGTCTTTGCTAGGGTAGACACACAAATGGGACAGGTGAGCAGGCAAGGATGTAGCAGCGAATGGCGGGCAGGTGGAAGGCGAGATGCCCTTCTGTCTTCTTCCTGGAATGTCCCTTAGGCCCCTGATCTCAGTTCTGACCGTCTCTCACTCGTGCCAGACGTAGGACTCCACTAGAGTCTTTGGGACAAATCTAACAACTGGAGATGAAGTGGAGGTCACCTTTTGGGTCTGCATTTCCTCTTCATGACAACTTCCTGGCATCCCCCAGAGCCACATGCCAGGTTAACAGCAACAAGGGGATTAATCACACCACTAAGGCCATCACCACAAGCATCCTTCTGGAATCCAGAGCTTAAAACAGTGAATGTTTACTGTAGAAGGGGACCAAAGGGGGAGTCTAGCAGATGTTTCTAGAACATAAGGGTCCTAGCCTATTCTGTTAAAGCCCTCTTTCCCCCAATCAGGGAAGAAACACAGACCCTCTCCCCAAGACCAAAGTTATTCTTCAACTACTTATTGCATAGGTTGAAGGACAAGGGAACAAAGTAGGTACACAGCAGGACCTGAGTTGACTATTCTAGGGGAGAGAAAAGAAGCCACCATAAAGAGAGTAAAGGGAAAGCAGAGCCGTACAGACACAGTAAACCCATTTATTTCCCCCTTAGAAGAAGAACAGAGAGACCTGAAATCCCAGCTCTTTCTGCTTAAGCTCTGGTGCTCTGATAGGGTGATTTTATTTCTAAAGAGTGCTATGATGTGTGTAACAAGAAAAAAACAGTATTAGGAACTGTCTCAGGACTACTTCTTGTTGCTCCTCAACATCCCTCCAACGTCACTGTTTGCTTAGGAAGTCTCTCTCGAGATACAGTCTCTCCTGTCTGATGCACAAGCAAGACAGAGATGGGATGTAGACACAGCCACCAAAAGAAACACAAACCATATCAGGAGGAACAACACAACTGTGGCGAGAACAAAGAAAGACGTGGGCAAAGAGGCAGAGAGAAAAGTCTCTCTCCAAGGCCTCTGAGCAGATGAGCAGAGAAGAAATAACAGACCAGAAGACACCGAGGAGGCAGCTAGCAGAGGAGGGTGCAGGGACTGCCCAGCCAATGTCCTCCACCATGACTTCCAACCCAGAAACTGCCTGCCGGTGTGGACAGCGAAGCAGAGCTCAGTGCTCTGGGAAGAGCAGATCCCTGTCCCATACCCGAAGAATTCTGGACATGTGCTTCCTCAAGTCAACAGCAGAGGGTGCTGCTGTTCTGCCTTGAGCCCACCCCGGGATCTCTGCACCGTCCTCAGGATGAGGCACTGGGCCACAGCAGCGGGTAACATTATGGAGAGGACAGGGAGACAGATGGCCTGGAGAGGTCTGATCTGAGCGTGGGCAGGTGGAGAGGTTACCTTTGTTGCGATTTTCAGAGACTCCTTGTTTTTTACCTGTCTGAACAAGAAAGAGAAAAGCGGCGTGGAGACCCAAAGTGACTAGTAAGAGATGACCAGATATCATCTTGTTGGTCCTCTCACAGCACAGGAGGGCTGCAGCGAAGGAGGTGGGCTGTAGGGCAGGGAGACACGTGTAAAGGAAGCTCATGTCTCTGTTCATCCGTCCTTCCTTGGGATCGCAGCTGAGTGCTCAGACATTGTGCGCACAAGGCCACGGCTGAGCTGCTCTTGCTGCTAGGAGGGAGGATGCTCTGGGCTTGAGGCAAATCTCTCGAGAAAATGGGGGTGGGAGTTAGGGAGAGAGAGGCAGGAAATGTTTCTGCCTGTGGACAGGCCCTGAAAGGCACGCTTCCTAAGTGTGCATCAGAGGGCAGCAGTGGAAACGAATAGTTGTTTCTTATTCATACACTGCTCTCTGCTAAGAAACTGAGATGATCCTTGGCCAAGTGGTAAAAGCTGTTCTCTCCCCACAGGAAGAAGGAATGCTCACAAAAGGGTGTGAGCTTGGCTTTGACATCTGGGTCTCTTTTTCCTACAATTCCTGCTCCAGGAACAAGAGTGACCAAGACTAGTCTAACTGCCTCTCTGGTCCCACTCTCCCAGCTGTGCTTCTTGTCTGCAGACAGCCTGCAGTTTCAGGGCAACCCACGTTTTCAAGTCACCTCCCTCTTAGCTGCAATGGTTCATTTACTCCTTAATCCATGAGGAGGACAGGAAGGGGAGAGGAGGGGGTTGCGGGGCCCTTCCAGCTCATCCAGAGTAGGGCTAACTCAGCCCCTCATAATCCACTAAAGATACAGGAATTAAGGTTCAAACGCAATCCGACTTGAAGGCTTTGAGTCAGGATTTGGTGGTTTTTGTCAGTGCTCCTCAGAGACAAGGTTGATATGCATGCGTGCGTGTGTGTGTGTGTGTGTGTGTGTGTGTGTGTCTGTCTGTCTGTCTGTCTGTCTGTCTGTCTGTATATATGTCTATAAACCATGTGTGTGCTGTCTGTTTGTATATATGTCTATATACCGTGTGTGTGCCTGGTGTCCACTCAAGCCAGAAGAGGGCATAGGATCCCCTGGAAATGGAGTTATAATAGTTATTAGCAACCTCATGGGCACTGAAAACCAAACCCAGGTCCTTTGCAAAAATAGCAAGTGCAGCCGGGCAGTGGCTCATGCCTTTAATACCAGCACTTGGGAGGCAGAGGCAGGTGGATCTTTCTGAGTGTGAGGCCAGCCTGGTCTACAAAGTCAAGTTCCAGAACAGCCAGAGCTGTCACACAGAGAAACCCTGTCTCAAAAAACAAACAAACAAAAGAACAGCCAGTGCTCTTAAACCACTGAGCCATCTAAGCCATCTCCCCAGCCTCAAAAGTGGCACCTCATCTTGGCAAGGAGCTTGGATATCTGTCACTTTGTCCCAGCAGACTTTTCTAATAGGTTCCCGTCTAGGTCTGCTCTCTGCCATCTAGTTCATTTGCAGAGATGAAAGAGAATTTCACTCTCGTTTGGCACGCCCCTTACCTCTCTTCTTATTTTCCTTCTCATCTTCCTCACTAGCCCCTAAGAGAGTGAAGATGACTCCAGTCTGGGAGTTGATTCCCACAGCAGTCACTACCATCCAGCCAGAACCTTCCATCACATGAGTTCCTTCAAAAGGGAAGTGAGAAGATGGAATTGAGTGCTGTTTGATATTCTCAGCTGTGATTTAGTGTGAAATACAAACTAAAAACACAGTGCTTCCTTATCTTTATTGACAGCAATTTAGTTAGAAGGCAGTGAGAGAAAGCCAAAAGATGAGCCCATCTATAAAGGACAAAGAAAACAGAGGTTAATGTATTAACTTTACGCCATCTTCCAAACAGCAGTGCTCCTATAACACTGTATGAAACACTTCTGTCAGGCTACTGACATCCCTGCATTAGGACCACCCACATGTTTCTACTCCATCTGAATCCAAGAGAAGAAGAAAGGATGGAGCCCATAGAGGGAATAGGGCCAGAACCCATGGCCTGACTACCCCATGGAGGCCATGGGATGATAACCTGGGCAACCAGAGGCTGTACCTGAGAGCAACATGGGATCTTTGTCCAGAGACTTCTTGACATGGTCTGATTCTTCTGTCAGAGAGCTTTCATCAATCTTCAGGTCATTTCCCTGGATTAGGATTCCATCTGCAGGCAGCAGGTCACCTGGTGCATAAGGAGAAGGGTGACAGTAAGACCAAGCAGGTAAGAGCCAACTCCTCCATCCCACCTCAGGGCTATGGCAAAGCCTATAGGTTCCACGAAAGGCTGAAGAGCCTGTATGGTAACTCTAGAGCTGGGGTGGGGCCCAGTGGTAAAGGGCCTACCTACACTATAAACGGCCCTGGGCTTGATCCTTAGGATCACAAATATCTCAAACTGACACCTTCCTGTGGCCTAAATATTATGTACCTTTACTGCTAAGCCACACAGCACACAAGTATGACAGTCTTTTGGAAGAGTTTTGACTACAGCTTTCTCCAGAATTCTTTCCCACAATCTCCTTAAATTCTACCTGATAACTCAATACAATCTGGGGATTACTGGGAAGAGTGCTTCAGAAACTCCTGGACCCTCATGTCAATGGACCCACTACTCAAATGTGTGTTGGGAGTACAGGCCAGAGAAACATGGTGCTCTCACCGTATTTGACCTGGGCAATATCTCCCACCACAATCTCAGCCACTGGAAGTTGGATAAGC